GGGACCTGCGCTATGCCACCTTCGATGGGCAGCGCTATGATTTTGCGGGCAGCTGCCTCTACGAGTTCGCTGGGGCGTGTGGGGCGAGCGAGGGGCTGGTGGGCTTCCAGGTGTTGGTGCAGAACAAGGGGCAGGGGCTGCACGGCACCTCCTTCGCCCGCTCAGTCCAGGTCATCGTCTACGGGTACAACGTTACCCTCAGCCACGACTTCCCGGGGAAGGCCATGGTGAGGGCGGCCCCACCACCGGGTCCTGATGGGGTTTGGGGGGGGTGAGGGGAGTGTGGTGGGGTCCTGATGGATGTGGGAAGAAGGATGGGGGCACTTGGGGTTGGGAAGGGGGTTGGGATTGAGTTTGGGGTTGCAGTTTGTGTCGAGGGTGGGGTTGGATCTGGGGTTGAGTTTTGGGTTAAGGTTGGAGTTTGGGCTGAGGGTGGGGTTGGGGTTGACATTGGGGTTGCCGTTGGGTTGATATTGGGGTTGAGGATGGGGTTGAGGTTTGGGTTAGGGTTGGAGTTGGACTTTGGGTTGAGGTTGATGTTGGGGTTGGGGTTGGGGTTAGGGTTGGATTTGAGGTGGGTGTTGGGGTTGAGAGTGGGTTTGGGGGTGGGGCTGAGGTTGAGGTTGAATGGGGATGGGTCGAGGTTGGGTTAGGGCTGGATTTGGAGTCGGGGTTTGGGTTGAGGGTGGGGTTGGACTTAGGTTTGGGGTTTGGATTGGGATTGGGTTTGTGGTTGAGGCTGGGGTTCATACTGGGGTTGCTGTGGATGTTTCAGGTTGATGGGGCTGGTATTGAGTTTGGGGTTGGGGCTAGGCGTGAGGTCTGAGGTTTGAGTAGAGGGTTGGGGTCGAGGTTGGGCTTTGCGTTGGCATTTGAGACAGGCTTAAAGTTGGGATTGAGATTAGGGTTTGGGTGAAGGCTTGGTTTAAAGTTGGGATTGGAGTTGAAGCTGAAGTTGGGCTTTCCGGTTGGTATTGAGTGTGGGACTGGGTTTGGGTTGAGCCGGGATCTGGGCTGAGCTTGGAGTTAAGGGTTGGTGTCAGAGTTTGGGTTGATTTTGAGGTTACAGTGGGGGTTAGTGTTAGAGGTTGGGGTTGTTTTTGGGGTTGATGTTGGGGCTGCTGTTGAGTTTGGGCTTGAGGTTGGGGTTTGGATTGAGGTTGAGTTTGGGGTTGAAGCTGGAGTTGAGGTTCAAGGTAGGGTTGGGCTCGGGGTTGAGGTTGGCATTGGACTTGAGGTTAAAACTGGGTTTTGGGGTGGGACTGAGGTTGGGATTGGGGTTGAGGTTGGGGTTTGGGCTTGAGGTTGGAGTTGACCTTTGGGGTTGGGTCTGGTTTGGTTTAAACACCGGGGCTGCCAGCACTGCTGCCACCCCTCCCCAAGCTCAGCCCCACTTGGGTGCTTCCCCCTGCACCGAGCAGCCCATAGCTCACCCCTGTCCCCCTCACAGGTTGATGGTCTATTGGTCAACCTACCCCACACCCTACCTGAGGGCAAGATCTCCATCGCCCGCCGGGGCTGGGGCACCTCCTTGCGCACCGACTTCCATTTGACCATCTTCTTTGACGGGCAAAGCTACTTGGCTGTCACCGTCCCCAGCACCTACGCTGGGGCTCTGTGTGGCCTCTGCGGCAATTTTGATGGTGACTCCCACAACGACATCCCCGAGGTGGTGACAACGGTGGTGCCAGGTTGCAGCGAGCCAACACCACGCCAATGCTCCAGCCGTGCCATCATTGGCCGCAAGCAGCGGGCCAACGGGGAGGAGTGTGGGCTCATCCTGTTGCCCGAGGGGCCGTTCCGGTTTTGCCACCCCCGGGTTGACCCCGAGAGCTATTTCCAGGCTTGCATCACCGATTACTGCGTCTTCCGAGGGCACAAGGCCATCGTCTGCCAGGCGGTGATGGGCTACGCCGCTGCCTGCCAGGAGGCTGGGGTCGTCCTTGAGCCCTGGCGCTCCAAGACCTTCTGCGGTAGGTGGCCTCAGGGGCTTGCCAAGACAGCGGGAGTGGGAAAATCGCTGGATTTGGATCTCTGTCCAACATAGTTGGAGTCGGAAAATCTTTGGATAGTGGTTTCCATCTGAGATGGGGTCAAGATGGAGATGGGAGCATCCTCGGAGGAGGAAAATCCCAGGTTGGGCTCTCCATCCAAGCTAGCTGGAGTAGGAAAATCCTTGGATGGGGATCGTCATCCAAGTTGGGGTCAAAAGGAAGATGGGAGCATCCTTGGAGGAAAATTCTTGGATAGCGGTGTCTGTCCAATCTGGGGTCAAGAGGGAGATGGGAGGATCTTCAGAGGTGGAAAATCCTGGAGAGGGATCTCCATCCAACCTAGTTGGAGTAGAAAAATCCTTGGATGGGGATCTCCATCCAAGTTGGGGTCAAAAGGGAAATGGGAGCATCCTCAGAGCAGCAAAATGCCGAATGGGGATCTCCATCTGAGGTCACCACAGTGCAAAAACCCTCGGATTGAGATTTCCATCTGGTTGGGGGTTAAGAAGCAGATCCATGGAGGAGGAAAATCCCCAACAGGCACCTCCATCCTCAAAAAGAACCAGCTGAGTTGAGCTGGGTTTGGGACAAGACCTTAGTCTCATGCCCCGTGCCCTCGCCAGTTCCCAAATCCCCCCTTTCTCACCCCAAGCTTCTGACTCTCTCTGCCTTGTGCCCCCCACAGCACCCACTTGCCCCCCGCACTCGCACTACGAGCTCAACGGCACCGCTTGCCCCGCCACGTGCAGCCACCCCGGCAGCCCAGAGACCTGTGACCTGCCGAGGACCGAGGGGTGTTTCTGCGATGAGGGCTTCCTCCTCAGCGGCGAGCGTTGCGTGCCACCACCCGACTGCGGTTGTCACCACCAGGGACGTTACTACCACCAGGGAGAGGAGTTTTACCCCACCGATGGCTGTGCCGAGCTCTGCCGTTGCACGGCGGTGGGGACGGTGACATGTTGGGCGGCCCCGTGTCCCCCGGGACAGGAGTGCCGGGTGGAGAGAGGCGTACGGGGTTGTCACGGTGGGCAGCGTGGCCGTTGCGTCCTCTTGGGCGCCCGGCGCTTGGTCACCTTCGATGGGTTGAATTTCACCCTTGGCGGCTCTTGCCGCTACGTCCTGGCCAAGGTCTGCCAAGGGGATGGCCACGAGTTGGAGGTGACGCTGGAAAACGACGGAGGTGTCACCGTGGCGGTCGAGGGCTCCCGGATCACCATGCAGAGCGGGAGCATGTGGAGCGTTGACGTAAGTGTTTCTCTTCTTGGTGGGCAACCATCAGCTCAACCCCTTTGAGCCATAGCCCCATCCTAATGGGTCACCCTGGCCCCACGCGCCGGGCTGCTGCTTGTCTTCTTTAGTGGTCTTAAAAAGCTCTCTGAGATCCTTCTCCTCTTCACCTCTTCTAAAAAGCTTCCCAGGATCCTTCTCTTAGCTCCTCTAAAAAGGTGTCCAAGCTCCTTATTTCCTCTTCATCTCTTCTAAAAAGCTCTCCAGGATCTTTCTTCTCCTCTTCCTCTTCCCCAGAATGGTTCTCCTGGCCATCATCGCCCTTTCTCTCCGCCACCTTTGCCAGGATTTCTCCTTTCCCTCTGCCTCCAACCCAATTTCTCTGCTGAGGGAATGAACCCATCACCCAACCAAAATTGGGTTTATCCACTGGTAAAAAATACCCGCTAAAGCTGTGGGGTGGGATTTGTGGGCTCCAGAGGGACACGCGTGGGGTGGTGCACCTCATCCATCGCTGTAGGGACACCCAAGGGTGACGGGGACAAGGTGGGAGGACATCTCACCCCCTCCATCTCCCTCCTCCCTCCACCGCAGGTGGACGGGGAGACCCGCGTCCTACCACTATCGGTGGGTGATGGGAAGACCTGGGTGACCCAAGAGGGGAACAGCATCGTCCTTCAAACAGTCCTGGGACACCGGCTCGTCTACGTCACCACCGCCATCCTGTTGGTCACTGTCCCCAGCACCTACGCGGGGCAGATGTGCGGCCTCTGCGGTGACTTTGACGGCAACGGTGACAATGATTTCATGGGGCCCAATGGCACCCGGGTCAACGGGAGCCAGGAGCTGGTGGTGGCCTGGAAGGTGCCAGATGAATCCATACCTTGCTCGGACATCTGTGAAAAGTGTCCTGTCCACCCACCGGATGCCACCAGGCCCTACCACGCAGAGAGCTCATGTGGGATGATGGTGGTGACACCGGGGCCCTTCAGCGGCTGCCACGGGCAGGTTGGCCCTCAGGACTTCCTCGAGCACTGCCTCCAGGAGATGGTCCTCACCGCCGGGGCCACGGACACCCTGTGCCGGAGTCTGCAAGCCTACACCGCGGCATGCCAGGAGGCTGGAGCTCCGGTGAAGGTCTGGAGGACAGAGAGCTTCTGCCGTGAGTATCTTCACCAGGCAGCAAAGGTGGGGGAGATGGGATTGGAACCATGGGATGGGGCTGGGATTGCAACCATGGGATGGAGATGGGGTTGGAACTGTGGGATGGAGATGGGATTGGAACCACTGGATGGAGATGGGGTTGGAGCCGTGGGATGGAGAGGGGGTTGGAGCCGTGGGATGGAGAGGGGGTTGGAGCCGTGGGATGGAGAGGGGGTTGGAGCCGTGGGATGGAGAGGGGGTTGGAGCCGTGGGATGGAGAGGGGGTTGGAGCCGTGGGATGGAGAGGGGGTTGGAGCCGTGGGATGGAGAGGGGGTTGGAGCCGTGGGATGGAGAGGGGGTTGGAGCCGTGGGATGGAGAGGGGGTTGGAGCCGTGGGATGGAGAGGGGGTTGGAGCCGTGGGATGGAGAGGGGGTTGGAGCCGTGGGATGGAGAGGGGGTTGGAGCCGTGGGATGGAGAGGGGGTTGGAGCCGTGGGATGGAGAGGGGGTTGGAGCCGTGGGATGGAGAGGGGGTTGGAGCCGTGGGATGGAGAGGGGGTTGGAGCCGTGGGATGGAGAGGGGGTTGGAGCCGTGGGATGGAGAGGGGGTTGGAGCCGTGGGATGGAGAGGGGGTTGGAGCCGTGGGATGGAGAGGGGGTTGGAGCCGTGGGATGGAGATGGGGTTGCAAATATGGGCTGGACACCCCATCGTTCCAGGTTCCAATCCCACCCTGGGGATGGGACCAGCACCCAAGGGTCCGCTTTCCCCCGCCCCACTGCCCCCTCCTCGCCCCCCCCAGCCCTGCCCTGCGGCGAGCACGGCCTCTACGCCCTGTGCGCCC